TTTCCCTCATCTTGGGAGTCTGACTCTACACTGTTGCCCCTCCTGATTGGACTTTTCCCCAGAGGCTTCTACCTAAGGTCATAGACCCCACTTTTACTGGCCCACTGCTGTCTACTCCTGAGCGCATTTCATCATGGTTTTCCTGGCCCTAGTCAGTCCTGGTCCTCTGCTACCTGGTGTGTTGTTAAGTTTATGATTAAGTCCGTGTTCACCCCAAGCCTTGCAGTCAACCCTCAGAGTCAAACAGAATGATGCCCTCTAAACGAGGTGTTTAAAGGGGCATCAAAGGGGGGGAATGATAAGGAAAATCTGTGTCCTAAGATGGCCAACCGAGCCAGCGAGAGAGCCCCCAGTCCTCACCCCAGGGCTCTTCCAGGTTCTTCTCCCAGCTCTGCTTCCTGTGCGCACCAATCCGGTTCTTCTCCCTGCCCCGCTTCACGAACGCACCAAAAGTGCCCAGTATGCGGAAGTAGAAGTGTATAAATTGCCCCCTTTGTGCTTGGGGCTCAGATCTTTGGAGACCACTCTTCTCTGAGCCCGCCGGTGTTAAATAAACCTCCTAACCTCCAAGATCTCCAAGTGCCACTTGGTTCTTCCGTCAGACGGTCCAGTCCAGGTTCTGTAACACTCCCAAGCTGTAAAAAATCTGGGTAAAAGTAAACATTGTATTTTCCAAAGCATCAGGGAGCTACGGAAGCAAGAAGCACCAGAAGAAGAAAACCTCTGGAGAATGGACGGCTGTGCAGAGGTGACTATCTGCAGCTGCTTTTCCCTCCAGGCCATCTCTGATTCTGGGCACAGGCTAGAGGCTGAAATCTGGGCTGGGTCCACTCAGAGGGCTCTGCGGAGGCTCGAGGGGCCCAAACACCCAGCCAGCTTCCACCTCGATATATGTTTTGAACTACAAAGCTGTGTGTTATGAGAGGCTGAAGACCCCTGAAAAGCCAAGTGGAGTTTTCTGGTGCCTCTTGAGAAGACAAACACATGCCAGGGGTTGGGGTTTCTGAGACAATGTGAGAAGAGCCAAAGGCACTGGAGGGAGCAGTGACCTGACGCCAGCCATCAACCATCAGCCATTGGCCACCTGCAGCACCTGCTGATTTCTGTGTGCTGCTGGACAAACGTGGAGGCTTGAGAGGCCTCAAACACAAGGCTGCTGTCCCGTCCCTAAAGGCCTTTTACAAACAGATGCAGCTTGGGACAGGACACCAAAGGGCAGAGACACACCCCTCTCCCCAAGACAAAACCGTCTGTAGTCTCTCTGTGCTGAGACCAGGCCCTTGACTGGAAGCCACACTATGGGCAGGGCAGACTGGAAGTATATATCAGCTGATTCCTATTGGAACCAAACCTTGACTCTGTTCTGTCCTTCTGGAATTAAGCTGTTCAAGACCACATTCTTCACTCCACCTGCCCAGCCAGGAAAGGGTTAACTCCCTCTGCGGGGAAGATTACATTATCTAGGACCTTGCAGAGCTTTTATACACAATACTTGGTATTCCTTTAAAAATTACTCTAAGAGAAAAAGCAGACAATAGAAGAAGACCCACCGGCAATCCAGAGTTGTCAGAAAAGAACTTGAAAATAACTGATTAGTATGTCGAAGGATATAGAGAGAATAATGAACAAATGGTTAAAAGGGTACAGATAATCAGAGAAAGTTCAAATCTGTAAAAAAGCATCAAATGGGCATTCTAGCCCCAATAAATACAATATCTGCAGTTAAGAAATCTGATTGGTTTAAGAGCAGATCAGATACGGCAGATACCAGGATTAATAAAAAGTAAGATAAGCCACTATAAAACACCAAAATTGAAGTTCAGAGAGGAAAATAATAATTAAAAAAGCAGAACAGAGCATAGGAGGCATGACTCACAGTTTAAAAGGTCTAAAGGTGTAATTGGAGTCCTGGAGGGAGAGGAGAGAACAAGGTAGGAATAACTGGAGATACAATGGCTGAGAATTTTCCAAAGTATCAGAAAAGCTATTAGCTCAATGCCTGGGTATTAGCAAAGCTGTCCTAATCCTTCTTCAGTTCCATGATTGGGTTCAGTTTCTTTTATCGTCCTGGAAATTTATTCTGTTCACTGATCGACATAAGCAGAACTGGAATTTAGATGTTCTTGTTTATGTTGTTAACTGAACCATCCCCATCCAGGCCTTTTCTAGTGGTTGCTGATTACTGTGTCGCTCGTTTGTTTTACCATTAGGTCAGACATTTATCAAGTATGTACAGGTATCATTCCCTTTGTCCAGCACCATCACTGCTCCTGACCAACTTGGTCAAAACCAACTGATCATGGACATCCTCCTCCCACTTACACTGCCCCATTTCTTTCTTTTTAAGATTTTATTTATTTATTTAGACAGAGAGAGACTGAGAAAGGGAACACAAGCAGGGGGAGTGGGAGAGGGAGAAGCCGGCTTCCCGCTGAGCAGGGAGCCCGATGTGGGTCTCGATCCCAGGACCCTGTGATCATGACCTGAGCTGAAGGCAGACGCTTAACGACTGAGCCCCAACACTGCCCCATTTCTTATTCTTCATCTTACAAGCCTGCGCCCTCAGCCCCGGCTAATCCTCATTAATTCCTGGTCTCCAAACACACCCTGAATATTCCCTCTTTCAAGTCTGTTCCTGCTGTTTCCCCAGTGGAACAAGCCCTTCTGTGCCATGCTGTTTCCAGGCCATCTGCCCCCTGGTTTCCTGCCTGCCTCGGCCAGTTTGGGCTCAGCATGTGGGAGAAGCCGAGCAGACCATGCAGAAATCTCAGTGACTCTTAGAGCCTTCTGAGCCCTGCTCGGTGCCCCTTTATTCGGGGCCTAGAATCATCTCCCAGGTTGAGTGGTCTTAGTGCTGGGACACCGGGGCTTAGGAGGGCTTGTGAAGGGCTTTCCCTGTTGGAGGAAGACAGCAAAGGGTCCAGGCAAGGCTACACAGTCATTACCAGGCTCTGCCAGGGAGCAATCCTGGAGAGGTCTGTGTCTCAAAGTCTTAAGACTTTGGTGACATCCACTGCAGAAAATGAATACTTCAAGTTGCAGGTCCCAACGATGGACAACCTGGCCAGAAGACATTGCCATATCTCAGACATGATATGCACAAAGGCGAGCTGCAGGACAAGGGTCCAAACTTTTGTTCTCATTGCCTGCCAGCCCTGGTCTTTCTTCAGGGCAGGTCCAAGGGACAAGGGGACACGGCAGGAGAAGGGCACTCAGTGAAGTGGTCTGTTCATTAGGGACCTCTACACTCGCTACTGATTTTGTTCTTATTGCTAATGGAAGCCTTTACTTACATCTTGTCCCTGAACTGATGGGGAGGTGTTCTTCGTCTTTACCTCAGACCCTGCTGCCATTTCAGCAGCAGTGGGGGGAAATCTCTCTACTCCTGGTTCTGCCTCTGTGTTCCCCACCTGCATGCCTATGGGCCTTAGAGCCAAGAGCAGGTGGGTTCACCCTCTTTCCCTACCGCCCACCATGCTCAGGCTACGAAACTGTTCAAGCTGCAGTTTCTTGGTTTATCAAATGCAGATGACAACCTCTAGCTCACGGAGCTGTTGGGAGGACATAAATGAGACGACATAGGTCAACTGTCTCGCTTGGCATGGGTGCTCTGCACCTATTGACCAACTCTGCTCCAGCCCATCTACCGCCACACACCTGCTCATCAGGGAGTGAGGCTGAGAACATCACTCTGAGAGGAGTGACAGAGATGAGTACCAGCTGCAGCAGCGTTACAAGGGCAGGGCTGAGGGACTGTCCTCGGGGGAGGGGACAGGTGTGCGGACATAACTATCGGACATCAGGTTTTGAGGACCCATTGTGTACCAGGCACTGCTCTTTACACACATTCATCTGATCCTCATAGCAACCTGGGGGGCTGGTACTTGCAGCAGACAGGCTCTGGGGGGTCCCCATGATTCCTGGCTCCTGGTATCCACACCTTTGTATGATGGGTGCCCTCTGTTTGGATGTGGGTGGGACCAGAAATCATTTTTCAGTCTTCCCAGAGGAATGACATCACCTCCATAATCATTATAATGTGAACTTGAAGACGCATACATCTGGTTTTCAAAAAGAAAATGATCACTTCATGGTGCATTCAGACAAAGCCCGGGGTGCTTACCAAATGGCCTGCCTCTCGCCTCTGTGGCCTCATGGCAAAGCAGAGCTAATAAGATGGCCAGGCGAGGGGGGCACTCTGGACCCCATGGCCAGGGATAGGTGGACAAGATGGCCACACGCCCTCTCTCCCTTGGTCTGGTTTCTGTCATCACATGATTCTGATCTCAAATGTCCCTGGGGCACTGGCTCATTCTCTGATGGGAGGGCTTGATTTGTCCTCTACTCCTGGTCAGATGCCGCCACGGGAAAGAGCCCACCGAGCTTGAGGGATGCCTCTAAGCTCACAGAAGGGTCCTGACGTGGAGCCCTGTGGAAGGAATGGTCCCAGGGGTGGAAGAAGATGAGCAGTCTATGCTAGTTCAGGATCTGGGGCAGGGAGGTTTGCCTGAGGTCTGGGCACAAGCCCCAAGGCAGGGGTGGGGAGGGGCAATCCCGGACATAGCCTGCGGAGAAAACTGGAGAGGAGTGTTCAGGGAGGGGGCTGCGGAAGGATCATGGGAGGGAAGTGGAGTGTTGGTCTTACGGCGACACCCCTGCCCTGGGCGCAGAGCCGGGGGTGACCCCGTACCCAGGAAGTCGCCTTCCCACCCCCTGCAGCTCAAGGCCCTGTCTCAGCAGTCCAGAACTGGCCCAGCTCCCTCCGCCCCTGCCCTTTGGCCCTGCCTCTGTCTGCCCCGCTGCGGAGCGCTGCCTCCCCCACCCCTGGGTGGGTCCGCCCCTTGCTGCCCCCACTGCTTCCCCCCTGCGGCCCAGACCCTGCTCCCCGCTGGGGCCGCGCCTGCCGGCCCCGCCCCGCGCGGGATCCGCCCTGCATAAGGCCGCCCCGCACCTGGAGGCCTCACTTGTGTCTATAGGACCGCGGGGGATGCGGTCTTGCCATGGCCTCGGGGGCTTCTCCGTGCCTTGGGGTGCCTCCGCACCGTCTGTGGGCCGTGAGGCCTGGCATCTACGAGGACGAGAAGGGGAGGACCTGGGTGACCGTGGTCGTGCGGCTCAGTCCCTCCCAGAGAGCTCGGGGCAGGGGCTCCCCGGGCAGCACAGTGAGTTGTCAGGCGTGGGGGGTGGGAGGTGGGAGGACTGCGCAAGGACCTCAGCCCGTGTGGGCCTGGCACATTCAGCAATAGGGCCCGGGATAGAGGCGAGAGGAGGCCCTTCTCACTTGGCCTGAAAAACTCGGCCGTGCAGGGTCCCGAGCTCAGGGATGTCTATGCCTGATGCAGACCCCCGGAACCCCTGCCTGGAGGGGCCAGTGGCATGAGCTTATCTGCAGGAGAGGATGTAACCCTCATTGGGAGGCCGAGGGGTTCAGTAGGTCAGGGCCCAGTCCTGTCCCCAGTGCATGCTGGGAAGGCTTCACGGATCGGGCAGCTATTACCTGGGCCCTGCAGGATGAGTAGGAGTTTTCCAGGTCCCAGGCAGGAGGCTTTGCAACCTAGAGGCAGCAGGTGAGCCGACAGTGGAAAAGAAACGTCAGCTTTGGGTTCCTTATCTACAAAACAGGAATAATATACCTCTGTGGCAGGTGAGTCACGGATGCCACAGCTGAAAAGCCTTGGGGGCGTTTGACAGATAACACCTTCCGGAATCCCACTTGGGAAACGGATTGTGGATCTGGAAGCTAGGGTGGAGTCTAACACCCTTACCCAACCCCCCCCCCAAAAGCTCCCCAGGTGTTAAAGATAATCATTCAGGTTGGCAACAGTTGCCCCAGGTGAGGGGTTTAGATCCATCTTAGAGGGGTACAATAAATACCTCGTGTAATATGGGAAAAGACTGTCAAGCTACTGCAAAATGCCATTTAGGCCATTATAAACGATTTGCTGACATTTTAAACAATACAAAACACTTCTAGCACTCTTCAAAGAGGTTATCCAGAACATTTTTGGTGGAGAACACTGAAAATCTTTTCCACACCTGCACCAAATAAAGCATGCAAAAAATTATGGACAAAATATTTTGGTAGTTTTTTTTTTTTAGAGCATAAAAATGTATCCAGTGGGAAAAGTGGATTCAAATAATGTAGCTATGGATGCAGTGGGGCACCTGGAGAATGAACATTTCCCCCTGTTTAGAATAATTACTTCTTATTAGTAGACCTGTATTTTCATATATAATCTTAGGATGGGAAGCAGCGTTCTGAGCCTGACCTAACCCAAAGCCCAGCAAACTTTCTGTAGAGGGTCTGATAGTAAATATTTTCAGCTTTGCAGGTCTGAAGGACCCTACAGTGACTACTTGACTCTGCCCTGTAGTGCAAAACCAGCCAAAGACAGCATGTAAAGGAATGAGCATCTGTTTATCTACAATAAACCTTTATTTACAAAAAGAGCTAGCAGGCCAGATTGGGCCCACACTTGGCTTACACCCTATCTAAAGCCAGAATCCAAAGGGAAAGAGATTTTGCCATGTAATTAAAAGCATTTCCTCTGCAAAAAGAGCCCATAACAAAGTTAAGACAACAAACTGAGAAGAATTATTTGCCATATGTATAATTGATAAAAGGCTAGTATGCTCATCACAAAGACATTAAATACTCAGATAAAACCGCTGTAAAGAACTTTCCATTTTGTTGCATAACAAAGGGAACTTTGGTTATAGTTGGTGGTGATTTTCCCCACTCACTTTTATACCTTTCTGTATTGACCAAATTTCATTTTATTTTTTTTTTTTTATGTTTATAATAAGTATGTGAAGGTCAGGATCAAAACTACAACATATTTTTGGGGAAAACCCATCACTCCTAGGTCCTAAGGTGTGTGGATGCCTTACTTACAAAAAGAAGTTAAAAAAAACTCTAGAAATGGCTGAGACAGAGGCCCAAGGCATAATCAGTGCAGACCCAAGGTTGCCGACGGGTGGGAAGAGTGGCTAACTTTTCAGGAGTAAGGTGGGGTGCAGGTCAGTGGGAGGACCATACTTGGGGGAGCCAGGAGAGAATCCATCATCTCAGGTCTAGACCAAACCCCCAAGAGATGGTGCCATGGCTTTAGGTCTGGGATTCTCAAGACATTCACATCTGAAGGGGCAGCTCCCCAGCGGGGCCAGGCATCCAGGACTATGTTTGCGTGCAGCCCAGCTGTCGGGGAGCCCTGTCTCTGATGCGCCGCCTCCTCTCTGGTCCCTTCAGCATGAACCCAGCATCACAGTCCACATGTGGCAGATGCCAGTGCACCCCCAGAAGCCCATGTCCCCCAGCCAGCTGACACTCTCCCAGCTGCCCCTCATGTGGCAGCTCTACCCCGGAAGAAGGTACAGAACAATGGACTCCAGGCTCTGGGAAGTAGTGGACCACGGCCAGGCAAGTGTGTGCGGCCTCACCAACTATAACCACCTCAGAGGATGAAGAGGGGCAGGTGCTGACTGCATCCTGCAAAGTGGGACCAGGGATGGAGGGGCCAGGGGTGGAGGGAGCAGGGGTGGAGGGGCCAGGGGTGGAGGGAGCAGGGGTGGAGGGGCCAGGGGTGGAGGGGCCAGGGGTGGAGGGAGCAGGGGTAGAGGGCCCAGGCTGCTGAAATCCACAAACCCCGGTTCCATCTGCTTCAGGTGGCCGGACAAGCATTTCCGGGGGGAGCTGACTGCTGCTCCCCCTCCTGCAGATTGCCTCCACAGAGCAGCTGATTCTGACCCAGCTGCCGCCCGGGGAGTGACTGACAGCAGAGAGCCGCTCATGGGCTGGTACGACGGGGTCCGTGTCCCGCAGTGTGGAGAGCCAACAAAAGCAAGGAGGCCTCTGCTCTTTATAGGAAGACAGTGCTGGGTTCCTTTCCCTCCTGCTGTTCCCTGAGCTTATCTCACATAGCCACCCCCCCCACCCCCCTGGTCTGTGGTTTTCACTGTGCGCAGGCGCCCCCCCTCGACCTTCACAAAGCACGAGATCTCATCAGATAGTAGTCATCATTTAATCTTTGCAAGAATTCTGTAAGGTGCATGTATTAATGTCCCACTTTACAGATGAGAAAGCTGAGGCTCTGTGGGCTGGATAGGATTGCCCCAAGACCTGGAGCCCGGAAATAGTAGTGATCAAGCTCAAGTCCAGTGAGTGCGGCTCTCTTCCTAGGTCTGACCATGACACCGGGGTACCACAAGTCTAATCAGTGGCAGTGGCCTTCAAGGACCCTGCCTCCCCCCACAGTCGCCTTCTCTCTGAGACTGACCGGAGCAGGGCCCCGTGCATTGGAGGGACTGGAGCTGGCCTTGCCCTCCCAGCCTTTGGTCCTGCTTGCATTGGGGGCCCCATTCCTCCATGATGCTCTGCCTCCTTTTGTCTTCTCCCAGGTCTTGCTGGCCCCATGGATCCTCTGTGAGGATCTTTGCATACCTGCTCTTCTGTTTGCATACGTAGCATGGCCTCCCTGGGAGAAGGAGGCAGTGGGGCCCTTGTCGACTCTGCTTTTCTTGTTTTCCTCAGCAGTCCCACCCTGCTCGGCTCTGCACTCAGTGTGACCTGCCTGGATGGGCCCCATCTGAGTGCTGGGCCCAGCTCCCCCACTGGCTGCAAGCCATGGTTTCTCTTTCCCTTTTGTGCCCCTGATGCTGATCTTCCAGGTGCCCCTCTGCAGATCCCTTCTGAGGCCCCCAGGCCCAGCTCCAGCCAGACCCCTGGTTGGAGCCCATGATTGGAACTTGCCATCAACCTGCTCCCATTAGGCAGAGAGTGGCTCAGTTTTAGAGACGCCTTCAGAGCGGGAGCCAGGCCTGGACTTGGGACTCAGATGGGCATCCATTCTGCTGACCTGCTGGCCCAGAGGAGGTGGAGTCCCAGGAGGCTCACCTGCACCAGGGGCACACAGAGGGACGGACTTGGCCCGAGGTCCTCCTGCTTCTTCAGTCCTTCAGCTCATGGATGTGACGCTGGTCCATGAGGGCTCCTCGCAGTACTGGTTAATTAAACTTGCTGTGGTCTGCTTGGTGCTGAATCAGAGCTTAGCTTCAGCTGGTGTCTAGTGCAGAAAAGCAGCAGTACTTAAGCTGGCACTTGAGGTTGAGATGAATTTTAATTCCCCATTGAGTGTTTTCCACCCTGGGAGGAAGTTGTGATCAGCCCATTTCAGGAGCAGGATGCTAGGGGAAGGGAGGGAGGTGAACCTCCCCTGGGGTTCTGTGTGAAGCTCGGAGAAGGCAGGCGAGACTGTGGCAGGAGCCGGTGGGGGGACCCCAGCTCTCACAGATGGACGACACCCCCTCATGTCTTCGTGGGATGGCAGAGGGAACCATCTGAGTGGCACATGAGGCGGAGTCTGAGGTGCTGACTGGGGCCACGACGGAAGAAGAGGGTGGTGTGGACGAGGGGCGGGGTGACAATTTAGTGGTGGGAAGAAGAGGGCATAGCCTCTCTCATACCAGTCACGAGAAGCAATCACCAGTGGATTAAAGTCCTAACCTTAAAAATGAATCCATGAAAGCACAGGAAAATACAGTCATGATTTTGGGGTGCAAGAAACCTTAAGCGAGATGTAGAAAGCCAAAGCCAGTGTAGACAGTTGTTCTAGTTAAACATTTTCTGTAGGACAGCCTACTAGAAGGCAAAGGTGGAGGACATTGGGACTGGATACCAAGGCCCTAGGATGCAGAATGCATAGAAAACTTCTAGAAATCGCTAAGAGAAGGGGGCGTGTGCCAGGAACTAGCAACTTACAGAACAGGAGATGCCCAGATGTTGGAGGGGAGAAGTACAGATTTCAGAACTCTGAAATCTAGATCCTTGGTGTCGGTAGAAGTAGAGGCTTGATTGGGATTGCGTGGTGGGAGTGTCCACTGTTATAGCCACTTTGGGGGTTTGGAGGACAATTCCTAAAATGGCACACGGGGCCCTTACCCAGAGTGCTTCCCTACAGCAGGGTGGTCAAGCTCAGCAGTGCAGACATTGGGGACCGGGTACTTCCTTACCATGGTGAGCTGCCCTGAGCATTGTAGGGTGCTTGGCAGCATCCCTGGTCTCTGCCTGCTAGATCCCAGTGGCACCCCCTGCCCCTTCGAAGTTTTGAAGACAAGTGTCTCCGGTAATTTCCAAATGTGCCCTGGGGCAGAAATCACTTGCACGTGTGCATGAGAGGTCAGGGGAGGGAGCAGCATGGTCACAGCAGGGGTCCATCGTGGAGGAGCTGTTGAGTAAAAGGAGACCCCAGGAGCAGAGGTTGGGCTGAGCCCCTTCCAGTTAAAGGCTTCTGTGCTCTGAGAAATAGGCTCTTTAGAAAGCCCTCCTGCCCTCAGCAGGCCCTCCCCTCCCCCTGGCCTGAGACGGGGACCTGGGAGCGGGGATGTCATGCAGCCCGCATCATGGTCACAAAGCAGGCATGAGCAAGAGTGAGGAAACTGTCCTTTTAGTTCAGGGGGAAGTTTACAGAGCCAGGGTCGGCAGAGAAAGGAGGCGTGTCAGGGTGGGGGGGGTCTATGGGACCCCCAGGGCGTGTGTGGCCCAGGGCAGGGGACTCAGCCCCCATTCATCTCCCTCCCGTAGCCACGAGACCAGTGTCACGATCAAGAAACACACACCTCTTGGGTGCCAGGCAGGCTGGTTTTGGGGTGCCAGCTATTTAGATGTCTGGGAATGCCAGCTGTCCAGCACCTGGACAGGCCCCAGGATGGCGGAAGGAAGCCACTAGTCCCGTGGGTAGCTGGGCTGGGGTGCAGCCTCTTCTGGGAGAAACAGGGCCTCCGGTCCCTGCCCCCCGCAGGAAGTCCCCAGGGTCAGGCTGGGACGGCTCTGCAGCTTGCATCCCAGGGCCTACTGGTCCTACAGCATGGGGAGGGCCCCCGGTCTCTGGGGATGCGCCGTGGGGGTCTGCTGCCTTCTAGGCACTGTCAGGGGTCCGCACGCCCGCATGGCCCCCCGAAGTCTGCAGTGTCACCGCATGTGTTCTGTGCCCGTGATGGCTTCCACCTGGGCTCCCACTGCTCGCGGTGCCACGTGTCTGCCGGGACTCCCATGCAGCTTCTGTCTGGGTGGCCTGCCTCCGTGTCTGCCGGGGGCTCCGCTTGCCCTGACACCTGGCTGGTGCCACACGGGATATGGTGGTGGCTCCTCGAGGATGTGCTCCAGGAGCCTCGCCCCACCTCGCTGTATTGTGCCTTCTGCTTTGGCTGGGGCCCAGGGGCCCACCCCGGCTCCTCCTGAAGGCAGGTTTCCCTCACTTCCCTTGTGATTTTCCCTCTCTCTCAGCTCAGGAAGGGCAAGTGGGCCTGCTTGACTTTTCTCCTCCCTCCTTCCTTCCCTCCCTCGGTGCCCGCCTCTCCTTCCCACCCCTGCTCTGGGGCAAGAAAAGCAGCAGGCTCTCCTTTTGCCTCCCCTGGTCTTTGAGCTCAGTTGTGGATCCGCTCCAGGATAAGGAGAGATCCAGAGAAATCTGGAAATCTTTTCAAAGGACAGCAGCCTGGCCAGGCAAGGGTGCTGGCCTGCCAAGTCCAGCTGCAAATGTCAAAAGCCTTGGATTCCTCCCTGTTTCCTGGGAACAAAGACCAAGTCTGCCCTTTCTGTGGGGAGGTGGTGTCTAAGGCGGTCCGGGACAGAGGTTGGGGGTGGGAGAGAGCAAAGAGAAAAGCACCGCAAGATATTTAAAATCCCTCCTGGTGCATATCCAGGACCGTCACAATGGGCTTACAGACGCTGGTCACGCATCCCTGGAGGTCTGCATCCTGGGTGAGCCCCGTTCTGGCTCTTTCCGGGCCGTGTCACCCACAGGGCGTCTTCCTCCGTGGGAGCTGTTTGAGACTTCATGTGCTGGGTCTCTGAGCCAGATCACTCATTTGTGTGTTTGTTCTTCCTCAATATGGGAGCTTCCTAAGGGCGCGTGGCCAGGTTCTGCAAACATTTACAGAACCTCAACTTTGTGCCAGGCCCAAAGCCGAGCGTGCAGGGAGGCAGAGTGCTAGGGTCAGTAAAGGGATGAGTTCAAAGTTGAGTTGAGTTCCGGATGCATGTGGAACATCCAAGGGGAGGCCTCCTGTAAGCAGGTGTTGTGTGGGTCTAGAGAAAGATCTGGGCTGAATTCATAGACTGGGGAGTCAGCAGAGAAGTGGCCATTGCAGCCAGAGGAGAGGAGAGAACTATCTGGGGCTCCCATACTTCTGCACAGGGCCACAGAGTAAATATTCACTCTACAGGCAATACGGTCTTTGTAGCAACTGTGCTTTCGGGGCCAAAAAAGGAGCTACGCACAACCGTCACAATGAGCACGCTGTGCCCCAGTAGAACTCTGCTTAAAAGGGGTCAGCAAGCCAGACCTGGCTCACCGGCCATAGCTTACGAACCCCGGATCAAGAGAACGGGTACAGAGCAGAAAGAAAATGGCAGATCTCAAGCATGACAGCAAATGGATCAGCAAAGGAAACTAAGTCAAAAAGATCTAGTAGGAAAAAGCCCAAGATGGAAGATGGCTAGTTGAAAGAGAGAGAAAAGTCTGATGTACGTGAAGAACAAGCAGGAGTCAAAAAAATATAATCTTCCCCTTAGCGATGGCAGGTGGCTGAGACAACAAGGCACCCCTTGCGGCTCCTCGGGCTGCTCTCTGCGCAAGCCCGGGGGCACCATCCGGGCAGCCATGATGGCCTGGTACCCCCAGAGCGGTGCATGATGTAGGCCACGCACCCCTCCGATGGTTCATAACCACACAGGACACAAAAAATAAAAGGCAAAGTCCAGACACTGGAA